GAGGTTCTTCACACCGCTAACGCGGCACGCCCAAAGCCCCTCGATAGGTGTGCGATAAGTGAAGGCACGTTGGGAGCTGATAACACCAATGGCTTGAAGGACAGCTTTACGGCTATCGCGGCTAAACACAGCAGGATGGTTGATCCATTCAAGACTGCTCTCAAGCTCAGCATCGAGGGCAGCTACAGTGTTGGCATCAATACCAGCACTTAGGCCGAGGCCATCAGTTGAGCGGCTACGGCCCAGCTGCGATGTGGGGCCATTGGTGCCAGAGATTGCCGAGGCTGGAGGCGAAGGACTTCGCTTGCGATCAGGAGTGGGTGATAGGCCTGGCGAAGCATCGTTCCCGGGGTGGGGAGTCGATGGGGCTGAAGGGTTGGACTTGCCTGGGGGAGGGATAGGAGGAAGTCCGCCCTTGCCCAGACCCTTCAGGATCGATCGAGTCTCGTTCAGAAGAGTGTGTGCACGATCATGCTGACCGCGGCTTACCAAAGTGAGGGCACGGGTGAGCATGTCAGAGGTCAGAAGCTCCATACGTCTCTGTACAATACTGGGGTGAGGGGGAATAGGGGGTGAGTTCTGCCAAGGCTTCTTGGAGCTTCCGCTAACTGGAAGCATCGTGATGGCCAGAAGAGATGGTCGAGGCATGTGGGTAACAGTACCCTCGCGTAGAATGTCTCCCCAGCTGAGATCTGCTTGAATCAAGGGAACCTCTTCGACAGAGAGAGTTCTCTCGTTGTCGTTGTCCATAGGACCGCCCAAGGCTTCGAGACCTGAGACAATGTTGTCCCAAGGATCTTGAGGAAGTTGCTCTTGTGATGTGTTATCAGGCAAAATGACCAGTTGAACAAGAACATCCCGCTTGTCACCAAATCGTAGATCGCCTAGAGATGCCTCTGCATCTCTCCCCGTAGCTCGCTTGGTTATTTGCAGAGCGCCACTAATCTTGTGGAACTTGGCAGGTGATCCCTCAGGAAGTCTAAGCTTGAGCTTGACATTCTGGTGGGATAAAGTCTGCATGCTTCCCAGACATCCAGCGAGACATTCTCGAAGCATCATCCAATCCTTGACGTAAGTGTAGGAAGCCTTAGTTCTCGTCGACAGCTCAATCATGGTATCGGGCTTGTGAGTCATTCCCAGGCCAAACGAGTGGATGGCGATCTTAGCAGCTTCGGCTCGGGAAACGACAAAGTCGACACTGTCAGCGTCAGAAGTGGACGCGTCGCTAATCAGCATGATAGATGCAATGGGGTTGTTGTATTTTCTTTGCATGAGCAGGTCCATTGCGACGTTCGCACCCTCAACAACATCGGCACGGTGGCTCTTTTGACCAACAGGCTTGATAGATGTCAGAATGTTGCTCCAGCCAGGCCAAGCCTTGGTGGTCATGCCGACAATAGGCACGCCGCCGCCGCCTGAACCAAACGTAACCAAGCCCATGCGATCGCGTTCGCCAAGTGTGTTGACCATAAACTTGAGGGCATCCCGAACCAGGTTGATCTTAACGCCCTGCATAGAGGATGAGATGGGCACAACAACAACGACATCGATGGGAACATGGATAGACTTTGACATGGCTGGGCTTCGGGGAAAGTTGGTGTAATCCGTGGGGGCCGTCGTGGTTGACCTCGCACCGTTCCAAGATGAGGCCACGGAGGAGACTCTCTGTGGGCGAGAGCGTTGCCAGTCAAGCTCTTCATCGGTTTCTGATTCGCCACGATCATACTCAGGACTGCGCATTGGAGACGACTCAACAGCATTGAGGTCAAGAAGAGCTTGTTGCCACAGCTTGAGTTGGTTTCGGTTCTCGAAACGGAGGTGGAACTGAGGCAGTTCGACAACAGAGAGACTGAGTGTAAGAATGTTTTCGTCAATGTTTCCTGTCTCCGATACTTCATTCAAGTGCTTCTTAATAAGAATTGAGCCCTTGAGGGTGCATCGGGTCGTCTTGCGAGGTGCTCCGTTCTCATCCCACTGTTGTGATTGAGGAATCTTCTTCTCCTTGACGCAAATGAGCATCTCAGCGAAGAGGAAACACTCCAATTCTTGCCACGAGACCTTATCCTTACCCACTCTAAGGGTGCCGTAGAGTCTCAATTTTCCAAATCTGCTAAAGTCCAAACCATGCCAGTTGTCAACACGGTTACGGAGACTATCTGTCATCTCCTCCAGAGCGTCGGTGGACTCGTAAGGGTAGAAGCGAGGCGCACTGCGGGCAGGCGAGGGTGGACGGCCGTATGCCTCTTCAGCACGGTTGACAGCAGGGGGTTGAGGAGCTGGAGCGCCAAGGTCCTCAGGATCTGGCCTCCACTTGTTATCAGGTACCTCAACAGTAACCAGACAGGTAAGTGTCTGTTGTTGACGTGACCTGCTAAGTGTTGGGAATTCTGAGCGGACTGTAACAATCGGTGCTGGTATAGGATTACGTGTGATTGGTCGTGGGCTGGTTGGCGTAGTTTCCATGGCCTGGACATCATAGTCATGGCGTCTGGCAGGTCCGCTCTGTGTCGTCTCTGGATATCCTCCAGAGGAAGCCACTCCAGTAGCCTCGCTGTCACTTCGAGCATGTCGTGAAGGTCCATAACGATCCGAGGGTGGTGCCTCACGGCTATCTCTCATACTACCTCGGGGCGCACTGTCGCGGGCACTGGCATGCTGCTGCTGCTGCTGTTGTTGCTGCACGGGGCGCCTCTGGTTGCTATCAACACTGGGTGCCCGCGCTGTGTGGGACTCCCATGGGGTTGGTGTAGGTGACATAGCAGATCTGGAGTCTGTGCCAACTGATCGTACCATGTTGCTGATTTTTTCTTGACTCGTTGTTAGTGAGCTATCCAACTGTCCCAGGATTGCCGGCCTACCGATGTCAATAACGTTTCCTCCTCTGCTAGTGTCCAAGTGCAAAGGTGCGTCACATGTTGGGCAGTATTGTGACTCAAACTCGCGGATGAACTCGTAAAAGCAAGCCTCGTGAGAGACGTGTGTGCAAGAAAATTGCAAGATGCGCTCTCCTCGCAGGGTGTGTTCGAGGGGCTCTTCACAAACTGCACATTCGCTACCCACAAAGGTGCGCTCTCGCCTAGAGCGACTTCGATCGGCGTTTGAAGACATAACGTTGTTGTCGATACCACCGACTCGACGTGAGTTGTTACTGAGTCCCGACTTTACCGAGCCAGTGGAAGAGACTGAGTCTTGCCCACGGAGGGATTTAGAATTGATAGACTGTGTTTCGGTGAATTGTCTAGAGTCCGAGCCAGTTTGAGGTCTTCGACTGTTGGATCTGGAGGCGCGGGAGCCAGTCAAGCCAAATTCTCGAAGGTTTACGGCAAGTGCCCTATCCTCGTCCCGCGTTTTCACTGATGCAGTATCGTGATCCTGGTTTTTGCGCAAGCGGCGAAACATTTAGTTGCGACACCTTTTCCGCAGGGTGTCCAATAATCAATAGTGCAAAGTAAGCACTTATCGTTGATCGGTTCCAGGTGATTGATTCAACGGCTAGGAATTGCTGGTCACAGTCGGCGGAAGTTAAAATGTAGTTGGCGGGGGATCCATGCGACTTTGGAATGTTTCAGAGCGATAAATCGAGTCGAATATTGAGTGTCGATTGGCAAAGATGAATTTGAGCTCGGGGCCAATCAAAAGGAAGAGGAAACAAGATTGGTCGTGAGAAAAGAGCGAAGAGAGACTATGTGCGGGTATCCGAGAGAAGTTGGGTTGGTATTTGTTTGAATTCGCTTGCGATGTTTTGCGATATGCGACACGTCGGCTGCCGATGTTTCTGCTTTTTGCTTTTTTAGCCAGGAGCGATGTAATGCTAGCCCTGGATTGCCACTCACTGTACGAAAATGAACCGATCAATGAAGATGCTATAATCGTACCACCAAGAACTTTCAAAGAGTGTAATTGCTTTTGCCTGCTGTGGATGTCGTAAGATGAGGAGGGATTGAATGTCGTTGGAAGGTGATAAGACTCGTCGATGTTGCGCTCGCTCGCTGATAGGTAGGAGCCCTTCGTTTCTTTTTCTTATTTTGCTTTCCAGCTATTAGAGTGGTCGATCCTACTGTCCGCTTTGCAGAAGAAAACCCCGTCCAAGTGGGGAGAAAGGAGAAGACAGCGAAGGAAAAGGAGGAATGGTAAAATGGAGGGGAGGAAGTTAGGTAAAGATAACCTGGGAAGTTGAGGTAAAAGAGTCGAAGCGAGAAGGAAACCCGAAATTACCAGAGCGTTTAGAGCAAGACCAGGAGCAAACTATGGTTTAAGGGCGTGGTGGGCTATATGAGGATGGCAGTTTCATTTCGTTCGCACTTGCACCATACGACCGGGCTCTTAACCTTGAGGCTTGATTGAGTGGCACCCAACCAATCCGATTGAAACCAGGCCTACGGTACCTTCCTTTCCTTTACAGTACAGTACAAGACGGGAAGTAGCATTAGTAGGCGGAGGACCTCCCTTTCAGAGATTGGCCGGTTCTTTGGCGCTTTGATGGCTTGCACTGGACGGTACACTACCGTTCTACTGTTTCCTTCCATAGGTTCTCCTCTGTATCGGTACCCCTGCTCTTTCTTCCGGGGACTAGGATACGTCTCTCGCGGTGGCCGGGTGGATCTTCCATTAAGCTTGCAGGGGGTTTCCCCTGTCCAACCTCACGAAAGAAAAAGGCCCGGGCTTTCTTACCAGGGGGCTCCCAGCTCCCAGCAGCCAGGGTAGCCAGGACCAGGCAGGCCCCAAAAGCCAGGGCTGCATTACCAGACCCAGACTTTGCCCAGGCCGAATACCGCACATACACTCACGTCAAGTTGCAGCGGTCCCCTGCTGCTGTTGCTCCTTCTCCAGGCGCCCCCCCCGGCAATTCAATTGACTCAGTTCATCTCCAGGCACAAACCTACCGACCCAGCTTCCTAATGTACGGCGTAGGCAGCGAAATGGATGGACGGGAACTTTACCGATGAGTTCAACCGTTGAGGGTGAAGGCCCGATGTTCGGGGAATTGGAACCCAATAAGTATGCTTGACGGCAATTATGTACAGAACGGTACGTCAAAGTGAACTCAAAACGCTAACCTTCCACAGATTCCAAAGGTAAGCTCCACTCCATCAAATCTCTTGACTCGGTCCCCTCCAAGACATTCCACCTGGGTCGAAGCACCAAAAGTCGATCCAAACTTTTGAAAAGGGTCACTGTAGCAGTGACGGCCTGGCCTGTTTTTGTCGGCCTGCCTGCCTGCAAAGCCTTGTCAGACTCAGCTCTGTTCTTGGAGATCATTGATGTGCCTGCCCGATTTGCTCTATTTCAGTCCCGTGCCACTACGTAGTCAGTGCACCGTCTATCTACTTGATGTCGTTTAGCGGATCCCCTTGGATTTGGAAGTCAAGCCTAGCCAAGTGTCTGGGTGACCTGCTCTTGTCCATGGTGCTTCAAGCCGTCTGGACCTAAAGCGACCTGCCATTAGAACCTCCAGGGGAAAATCAGGGGTCCTCAGGATCAACTGGTGCCGTGTCTGATTCGCGTTGGCTACTGTCGTGCCGACAATGATCATCATCCCGACCAAAATCATGATGTCGAAGATCGGATCCTGAGACTACGCTCTTTCCAGATATCACATCGTCTGTGTCTCACTTATTTCCCCACATTCAAAATGTCGTGGATATTTACGTGCCTACGTGCATGGTGTCGACTCATGGCAGAGAAATAATCAACTGGTACGAGTTCCCTCCACTTCACCAACATTAAGGCCGTGCGAGCCAGGCTGCACTCATGTGGCCTAGTGAGGATTGGCGCTCATTGGCAAACTGCCGTACGATATCTACCTATCTACGGATATAGCTTCAGAACATGCATGGCAGAGACCCGTTATAGATGCAACAAGAAATCACAGAGCAATGTCTGGTGATATATTCGAAACTATCGACTCGGACCGTGTCATATCGGAATAGGGCTCGGATGCGCCGTGGCTAAGTCGCCGGATGTGCCGTCCTCCGCTTCCATTTTCCGGGTCATGTCAGAAACTTGATAACTGAGATCGGATCTGTAAGATGGATGGCGGGCAGTGCAAGATGAAACTTTTCGCAACAAATTCCCAATTGCCGATATCTGGTATCATGCTCCAGAGGGTTACTTCTCTTAGACCAAAACTTGACCAAGAGCAGTATTGGCAAAAAAAACTACTCCAAACGACATGAAAACCAGTTCAGATGTACCATGTCAATTTAGAGTCGATATTCGTACAAACCCCTCAGGTTCGCCATACCCCTGCAATATTGTCCATTGATGATGATGAGCCTGCCGCAGACGCTTGATGATAACATATCATCCGAGACAAGCAGGTGAAAAGCTGGCAGTGACCATATCAAACTGGCGCTGCAAATGCCGACACACGAATCACATCAAAGTATGAGAGGGGGAAAGTGGACAAACATGACATAACGCAGGAATTCTTGTATTTTGAGCGTTTCAGAGGTTGAACTATTCCTTGGTACAGTAACGGTCAAGTCCGTTTGCATTCTGAAACACGCAGATTCCGAGACGTATAAGAAACCATCATGATGGCTATGAATGGTACAGTACAGCAGATCACAGCCAGAACAAACGGCGTCCAGGTTCTAGACCCAAGAAGAGGGTCTGTTCTCCGCAGAGGCGTATATTTGCATCACAGCCACAAACGTCATTGAATGAGAGAGAGAGAAGGGGCACAATAAAGCCTTTGTCAGGATCTAGATCTGCCAGCTGGGCGATGCTAGAATGGCAATTCACAGCTTTGACCTAGTGGTTAAGAACAATCGAGGCGAGCCTGGAGACGGCCTAGATTCGGTTGGTTGGGTTAGGTTGTCGTCCTGTTCAATTCGGTTAACCTCGATGGCGTCCCGAGAGGCCCTTGACCTGGTCAAGGTTGTCACTCAGGGTGCCCTTGTTTGGGGGGCTCTATCTGGATGAGTGGTGTGATTGGGCGGGGGACCTACCGGTAGCCTTCCGTGACGGATAAGTGCCTGCATTCATTGTCTTGGATCCCTCATGGGCGGAGGATGGGGAACCTAAAACATGCAGACGCGTGGTGATGTCTTTTGCCTCGACAAGAAATGTGTGGGTGTGTGATCCTTTGGTGGTGAATGGCTAGGAGATTGCATCAGCCAAGAGCCTCATCTCACTTGATAATCATCACAGGTTCTTTTATGTGTTTGTATGGTTAGTAGAACGAGGTGATAGTCTACATACAATGCATGAAACACAATCTGAGAGGACATGGATAGGATCGATGCTGAATAAAGTGCAGCTTTCAGAGGCCTTCCCCTGTTGTAAACACATCACTATCTGTAGAGTCAGCCACTAGCCCTGATCAGAAGGCGGCCGCAGTCATGGCCTGCCGCCATCAAGGCTATTCCCAACTGCTTCTCGAATGCAACATATCTGAATAGGGGAAAGCTTGCGGTTCCGTTCCTGGTGCCCGCTTGCCCGCCGCCCATTCTGTGCGGTTTATCGAGATTGAAAATGGTGGTTCTTTCAGGTTTCACCTGCATCAACAACCTCATGAGGATGGAGAAATGATGCATCGAGTCATTCACGCGGCTCGTGGTACCCAATACGGGGTTTTGATCTCGCCTACAGGAGTATTGTCTTGGAAGCAAATGATCACCAACAGGGGGCTTTAGAGAATAGGCAACTTGACCGTTTCTTTGCTTGTGTTTGTTTGCAAACAGTTGGTATCTATCCTTTTGATAACCATTGTCAGTAGCGGTCAGATATTGGATACTGAAAATAAGACGGGATGAAAGTGCACATCGTGGTGCAGAAGGAAAGGGTGTGGTGTCGAGGTTAGCGCGCTTCCATGTTGCTTCCAACAGATGTTCTATTTATTCGTAGTGGGTGGACTGATCTAACCCTTCACACAAAAACGGCTACGAAACACATTTTATTGTTGGTTGTCTCTGTAGGTCCCTCGGACGGGCCGTAACATTCTTGTTTTGAGGAAGCCGACAATGACCACATCTTAATGCATTCAAGTCTAATAACAACCTTCAATTTGACCGTAATATGTATAGTATTGTCCATATTTTTGACTTTGCCCTGAAACTTTGAGCTTGTGGTAATTATCAATATTTGATATCACCGTAAACAGCCATATGACAGTGCGTTTATCAAGGGGTCTCCTTGTAACTATTGGTGGCCCGTTGGCGTTAAGACGGAACTTTAGGCATTCTCCGCCTAATACAGCATTCAACTGAACCGTAAATAAAGGGTCCTCCTACCTGTTGGTAATATCACATTTTCAATATCAATATGTGTACCACAACAAGTATATCAATCCGAGCCTACATATCAAGAGACAAAAAAGTCTCCACAGATGATAGAGCGGAATCTGATTCTTTTTACCCGCATGAATAGCACATCCCCCAACTTACATTTCGGGCAATCATCTCGTGGCGTGTAAACTCAAACGCCACGAGACCAGTTGAGATCCGTTTTCCAACGACTCGTGATGGCACATCATCCAGCGGCTTGGCGCCGGGATTGGACAACGACACGGACCCTTTTCAGGTAGTCCTGACCGGCCTCTTGGAAGGTGCTTCAGCTAAGCTGTCTAGGGGCGAATGGTGTGTCTCGCAGAGGACCCTAATCGATGGGCCAGGGCTCCTCTTTCAGTCTTGCACTTGGAGACCTCATCATTATGAATGAGTGTACGTTTTGCTAAGTACAAAACGGTGACTTATCTCCCCCCTCTACATCATGGCTTGGGCTTGGCCAGGTCTGATCACAATGACGACTTCGTATGGTGGGAACGTGTGTTGATTGTATTCTGTGCTGCCTTGTTTTATTTCCTATTAGTGATTCATCAAGCATCGTCTGGTTTGTTAGCGACATTTCTTTACGTTAGTGTAGTTTGTGATATATCCGAATACCAACGAGACAAACTGCCTTTGCTTTGCCTTGTTGGTGTTTGCGGTAACACTTGTTCGTCCATCACGTTTCTCCCACGTGGCTAACTGCCTGCAGTGTCTTCTTCTTTCGCCAGGGCTTGGCTTTAGTGCAATTATGTACTAATTCGGTGCTAGTTTAGCTCAGGTAGGGTCTGCAAAGGCCATGTTCCGAGTACCGCTGTGTACCAGTAAAGGCAGGTAGTAGGCTGTCGTGGGATCTCCAGATTCGAGAAGACTCACGAGTCAGTAACAAGGCAACCTGAAATCACTCACGTCGATCTCCCGTATTGTTAGCATTGTTAGTCTGGTCCAACATGTGCCGTAAGCAGAAAGAACACAGACAGAAGGATGAATATCAGTGGCATTTGGACTTTCGCTATGAACCAACAATACGTACTGTCTGGTTGGGTTCATGATCCTCTGTCCAATAAACAAGTTTCAAGGATCCACGTATGTATATAGTAATTACGGATACAGTCGTAAAGAGGAATGCTCCGCCTATATTGCCCGCTTTGATTTCGCTCGCTTCTTAGCGAATTGTCGATAGTGTTAAATGTTCTACGTTGTATTGCCTCTCGTCAAATGTCGCTTCGTTTCGTAAAGCAGTAAATAGCAATGCCGCGAATGCCCTATATGTGCCCATATTATACATCCGTATTCCCACCGCAACTGCAACCAGGGACCGCGAAACTACCCATTGATATGGATGGGCCCATCATATGTTTCTTCAGCGGCATATGTACTTACTATCTCTGCATTATAGGTACATATCACAAGACTTGCATTGCATATGAAGCAAATGACTTGACTGAAATACATGTGAAGCCATACCGGTGAGTGTCATCGTCATGTTCTATGTATCTGCAAAAGCAGCTGGGTCACACCACTCACTCAATGTAGTATTCGATTAACCATTTTTCGCTACGTTCCTGTCGAAACTTGAAGGGCCCGGCATTCGCCATGTGTTTCTGACCTTTAACGTTTCATCCCCTCTTCCCCGGTAGGGACCTTTTTTCAGTTGTGTACCTGGAGAGAGGATATGTATCTCTCAAAGCCTGGACAATTGCAAGGACCAGGCTTCAACTTCAAGCGTGCCAGCGTCTCGTTCGGAAATGGGTTCCCACTCTCTCGTTGAAGAAATATCCACTTTAACGCGGGGATTCAAAAGGCTTCTTGGCCATTTTTGCTTTTTGCTGCAGATGCAGGCACCGAATAAAGACAAGGTCAGGGAGTGTTCGGATGACGGCCTGCATTGTTGATTTCATTGCATACACAGTACAGATATATACATGCATGGCAGTTGTCTTTGAAGGTCCCTTCCCCCACGAGCCTAGGGCTTCGTTTTGGGTCTCATTGATCGTCTTTATCAAGGACCGCGATTGCTCGTTAGGCTTCGGTTCCCTCCCCTTACAATAGAATGTGGGTAACATCGATGGTCACGTAGTATTTCACTGCCGAGAGCGTCGTAAACTTTACAAATCCATGATCTCGCTTGCGGATCGAAATTCAAGACACGACCCAGCACTACTCAAGTGGGTAGGTAGTTAGTCAGAGTCGAGCCATGACCAACACCATGACAGACAGGCAACGCTCATGCTTGTGCTGTTACTGTTGAAAGACTTTGGTGCTATATACTATATTTGAATCGTTAGGACACGGAACTTTGGCATTGAGGTCGGTGTAGTCCAAGCTGATCGATTGTTCGGGTGTCAGAGTTAAAGTGTTGAACCAACCGTATGGACAATATGCGGTCTCAGCTTCGCCTTGCCGTGTCTGGACTGGTCTGTGTCTTTGATTTGCTTGAAGTCCAGCAAGGTACAGGGTGGCAGCTTTTGAAGCAAAGTGAACATGTTTGAGTGGGTAGGAGTATGTTACAGAAACTGTCAACGATGACCCGGGTAGAAATATCCCCGAATGCGTACGCACTCATCAAACTGTGAGTTTTGGCTTTGTGTATATGCATTGACGAGGAGACTTGCTGAAGAAGACACAGTGCTTGAGAAACAGTAGCTTTTACGTATAAATTTTATCTATGTAAAGCCTTGTGCGTGAAATCCCGATACGCCTTGTATAGCCGAAGTGACTTGATGAAAAAGATAGATTGCGGTGGTGTTTTGGTATTGTGTAGGTATCTCAGCTCGTGGTTGGTACAGAGCTGGCATTAAACAGTGTTGACACTTCAGCATCGTCTATTTGACAAAGAAACCAGATCGTGGCTTTGCGGCGCTGCGATTCCTCTTCAAGAGGTCGTTCATGTGGTTCTTTGTTTGCCGCTTCGTCTTGGGCACCATCCTCTCGTCTGTCTTCTGGGCCACGCGGAACACAGTCGAGCCAACACGCTCATCCTTTGGTCCTCTGCTTTGACGGGCGAGCTCCTTTTCCACGGCGGCAACACGACGCTTCCTGGGGCGCTCCTCTTCTTGGTCGTCCTCACACTCGTCCTCGCTTGAGGAGTCTGTCAGGAACTCAGCGGGCAACAGGTTGGGGGCCTTTTGTGTTCTGCTGCGCTGAATGAGAGACTGGGCGGGCTCCTCCTCGTCATCCGAACCTTCTTGCTCAGCGGCCTCCTTCTCGGCCTTTTCCTTCTCTTGCTCCTCTAGCTTCTTGCGCTCTTCAGCTTGCTGCTTGAAGCGATCATCCCTCTCCCGACGCTTGCGCTTCTCTGCAGCGGCTTGTCTGTAAACATGTTAGTGATGGTTTAAATAACGTATGGGCGTGGAGAGAGGTGAGACTGACTCTTGAGCTGCTTTCTGGGCTGCTTGCTTGGACTTCTTAATCTCATAGGCCACCTTTGAAGTCGACACTGCCTCTGGCGCTTCATCGTCACTGTCTTCATCACTCTCCTCCTCCTCCTCCTCCTCCTTGGGTGCTGGCACAACAGGTTTTGACAGAGCGACTGGTACGCTCATATCATCATCATCTCCGAAAACGACCTTTGTAGCCTTGGGCTGCTCTGGGGACATATCGCTGGACTCGCCATCTTTGGCTCTAACAGGTAGCTTGCGCTTCTTGTCTGATGTGATTGTTTGAGCGGGGGCCTCTTCTGGCTTTTGCTTCTTTTCGGCCTTTCTCTTGCGCGTCAAAGGTGCCATTGTTGTTGAGTATTACTTGACAGAAAGTTTTTGGTGAAAGTTTTCAGACGGGTCAAAGATGTTGCAATAGGTGGCGAATACTGTACGTAAGGCCGAAAATATTAGAGACCGGTCTATTCGTATCAGGGCTGGAAATAAAAAATTAACAGTCGAACTGTGACTGAATGTTGAAGATTGTTGATGAAGCTCTCTTTGAAGTGTCGCTATGAAAATTTCAGACTGAGAATTGCACCCCTAAAGTTTAAGTAATATGATTGGCGCACAGTCTCAGATGTGTCTCCACAATTGACCAGTGGGGCCCATCAACCATCTCAAGCTTCTATCAAGCATGAGAGAGACGGACTTGGTCCAAATATCTCTATAGATCTCATCAAGACAAGCATTTCACTCATTCATTATTATACATAATATCTGGGTCAAATATGTCAGTCACGTCTCGATATGTGAATACTGGTGTTGTGCGCCAATTGTTGCGTGCCAGCTCTTCAACACCAGCTGTAATCACAACTGCTATACATACCACCAACAACTCAACAACAACAGTCTACTCCAATTGGCATCAATCTCGGTCATATGCTGTTTCAAAGGGACCAAGAGCTCCGCTGCGGAAACCTCCAAGAGCTCCTACACAAGCACCAAGAGTCCCTTCCCAATCCCAATCCAAGCCTCGGCCGGGCCTCGATTTTGATGCTTTAGAAAAGGTTAATCAAAATCTCACCCCCGATGTCTTCGAGAAGGTCATTCAACAATGGGACGGAATATTAAAAGCACCCACTCCAGAAGAATGCTACAAGCACGCAATGAATTATCTCCAGCAAGTTCTTGATAATGCACCAAATCTTCCGAATCTGGCTGGTAAGTTGGGTCATGGATCTTGGAGTAAACTGACGTAACTGACACATCTCTCTAGCTATTGACATCCCAGTGGAAACCGCGCATGTGATGGGGTGTCTGACATTCCTTGAAAATTCACAGCACATCCAGAACCTTGGATACTCGCTTCTTGCGACGGCCTCCGCGGCAAATTACAATCCCTCCACCATCACCATGGCAAGATTTTTGTTTCGTTCAGGTAACTGGGGCACGTTGCGGTCAGCCAAGCATATCGAGAACCGATTCATGAAGCTCGTGTATGAAGGAAAAGACTGCAATGCCCTCGCCGTGTACGGAGAACATCTTTTCAGGACTCGCAAGTACGCCGCGGCTGTGCCCATGTTGAACCAAGCCATCAGCGTCGACGACGGCATCTTTGAGTGGAAGAATATGTGCATGCTGTGTCTCGCAAAGGCGCATGCACAACTCGGAAAGATAAAAGAGGCCGAGGAAGTGCTTGAGATGCTTGGGAGTCCAGATGCTTGGATTGAGCTTGGCCCCTTGCTTGATAGAGGCGGGTTTGAGGATAAGCGGCAGTGGCTGTACAGAGAAGGTTTTACTGGAAGTTTGGAAGAGTTTCGGAGGTTAGCTGAGATGGATTTCGAGAAGGCTTCCAAGGAGACGGATAAGGCTTTGAAACATGAGTATAATCTCTGGGCGATGGAGTGGTCGAGGCTAGCAGATCCCAGTGTTAAAAACTAAACGGGTTCGAAGTGTAGAACACGACATATAGGGTTGTATTACTATTATGAACATGCATAAGACATATCTAGAGAAGGAAGCTATACTTTCTTCTTCTTGGGTACCTTTTCCGTGCTATGTCGTCTCGCACTCCGCTTACCCTTTGCATCCCCATCTTCCTTCTTAACAGAGGCTGTACCCTCCCCTTCCTCCTTGGCCTCGTTATCAGACTTGCCCTCTCCATCATCTGCATAATCAGCATGCTCTCCATAGTCACTCTCAATATCTCCTTGCACTTCTCCACGGTCTGTAGGGAACAGCTTACGCCACGTTCCGTCGAGAGCTTGGCCATCATTTCCATGGAGACCGACCTGGTACGCAGCCTTCATAGAAGAAATACACACGTCGCGTCTTTTAGCAAAATCGAACATTGGCTTGGGGTACGTGCCCTCCTCAACATTGTTCAGGCCGTCTCCTTTAATGCGAACACCTGCTTTCTTCTGGTCTTGCAGAGGAGCTTTCCAAGGCTCGTAGATGTACTTGGCGTCCATGTCTTTTAACTCGGGTACATATCGACGGATGAAGTCTCCTTTCTTGTCCCACTTCTGACCAAAGGCCACTGGGCTGTAACAGCGAAAGTACTGCGAGAAGAAGGCTGAGCAAGACAGCCACTGCCAATTACCTGCATTGCACGCCGGCTCATGGTCTATAAGCCATTCCTCAAAGACCTCGCAGCCTCGTTCCCAGTCGATGTAGCAACCCCCTCGAGTGAGGAAGCAGGCTACGGCATGACGTCCGAGGTGATGAATCCACCCCTCATCTTTTAGCTGCCGCATGAGAGCATCGATCCAGGGAAACCCAGTCATACCAACTCTCCATCGTTTGAACCAGATCTCTGCCTCCTCAGAATCCACGTGGTACTCTCCAGTGACAAGGCCAGTCTCAGCATCCCTTTTTGAAGGAAGATGCCACGGAATAAAACGACAGTACGGATTGTTGGCTGTCTGTGAAAAGACGTATCCCAGTGCGGCCTGGGCGGCAAAGTACATGTCTCTAAAGAGCAGCTGACCGATCAGACTCTCAGGAGGGGATGAAGCACCCTCGTATGAATCCACGACGTCTTTCACGCGCCAGTAGAACTCTCGTACAGAGAGTGAACCAAAGTGCAGATGTGGTGATAGCAAAGTCGTCGTCTGTGGCTCAAACTGTGCTGGACTCGTCTTTGGCTTCTCAAAGGTAGCCGTGTATTTCTTGTCTGCGATGATTTCATTGAGTGCTTTGAGCGCGAGCGTTTCTCCTCCGCGATGAGGAGTAGTTGCAGCTGGAAAGCCAAGTTCCTCCATTGTTTCTATGGCAAAATCACTTTTTGGCCCAGCTATCTTGATGTATGCTTTGTCTCCTTCCGTTCTGATTTCCGAGTTGAAGTCTGGTTTGGTGTCCGGCTCATCTTGGTCGAAGTTGACGGGCATATCTCCAGGGTCTGGGAGGTGTTTGGGAGCAGGTATCGGTTTCTTGACCTGGCCAAGTTTACTTCCTGCGGTCTGAAGTTGGGTGATAGACATAGTTGGCTTCCCGCCGTGTTTCTCTACTATTTGATCGCTGTCCCATAGTGTTCTGCCAGAACGGATAATGACTTCGACACCAGCATCTTTGGCTGCCTGGGTCACGACACTGTCGCGTTCACGGCCATAGCTGTCGGTATCCTTCTCAAAGACAAGATGAGTGACTTTCCAGGCCTTGAAGAGCTTTGGAAACAGAGTCTGTGGTGCTTCCCTTAAAACAAAGAGCTTTGAGTTGGAGTTGACTTTTGTGATGGATTTGGAGAGATCATTTTGACAGTCGAGTCTGTGTAGTCAGTCAGTATGATGTTGAGTTGTGACAGACTAGAAATCATTTGGCTTACAAGAACTGCCACCTATTGAGTCCTCCTCTGGCACGATAGACGTAGTGAGGATCCCACGTGAAAATAGGCCAAAATACAGCCGGATCAAGGTCTAGAGCAGCCTTGAGAGCAGGTGAATCATGAAGTCGTAGATCAGTACGGAACCAGTAAATTACACGTGGTTTTGCCATTTTTGGGGAGTTGATGTAATTCTGTCGTAATGCGAAAATGGGTTGATTTGGGGGTTTTCTTATCACTTTTCATCATTGAAGCTCAAGCATGAAGAAAGTCATGATGTCAACACTTTCCCAGCCAGCCCTTACCCCAGCCACCAGGTCCAAGTGGTTCAAGACAAACAAACAACAACACCCAATCTGACTTTATTCAATAGAGCCAAACATGACTCCTAATTTTCGTGGATTTGATTGTAATCTTGATAATTCATTTGCAAATCTCGAAACGTCTTTTTATGTGCCCTGCCATTGAAATGGGATTGGAAGTTTAGCTACCCTATACTCTGGTCACAGACTTTGAATGGTTCATCTCTCAGACCCAACACAATACCGAGACATGAATCAGATTTAGGACCAAAGTAGTTCACCTAAACTGCGACCAAGTTCATTTAGTTTTAGCAATAGTTCGTGAACTAGACCAGATATTCAACTGGGAAATGCAGTTGTAGTTGGTTCATGCACACAGCGGCAGGCTGCTGAAGATGGATCTTCTTCACAAGCAAGGGACAATATCAAGGGAGTCGTCATGCCAGCAATTGTTTTTGTTTTGCAACTCGGGGAATTGATAACCACAACAATATCTTTTTTGTCTTTATGCTCCGTAGTACCCGAGACTTTTGTCAAAGTGCGACCTCCAGATCTGAACAACAGGATGGACCCTGTTCCGTAACATGTGAATACTCTGCTAACGTTAGTTACATACTTGTTTACTTTAGCCTATCTGGCCAAGGATCATTAACTGGCTGCCGTTAACGGTCAGTCTACCGGAGATGATGCTTCTAGTGTCAAAGCTTATACCACATTGTCTGTTTACTGTGGTCAGTCGCAGCATGTCACTCGATGACGAGGAAAAGGTTCGATGACTGATAGATGTAATTTTTTCCGTGTAATTTCCCAGGCCAGCTCGATTGCGTGAGTATACCGGCAGTGGGGTAACCGATCGATGAAATTACTCCGTCCATTTTAACATCCATGGACCATGACGTGGATGGGTCAAGCCTGAGAGGCTTGCTACAAGTCGTATTCCTTGGTGGGCGACTACTGAACCGTACACAAACTATTGGCTCGTAAATCAGATCTTGATATGGCAATTTGGGAGGCGGATCGAGGAGTGTGCATATGTTAGTCTTAGACTTGCATTAGATAGACCAAGTAAAATGCGGCTCAAATTATGGTATTGCTGAGTTTTCAAGACAATCCCATCAACTATTGGCAGCTAGACATTCAAGCCACGCACAAGCGAGATGACCTCGTGGAGGCTGAATGTCATCAGGCTAAACAAGCTCCCCCGCATATTGGATCAAGATCTAAGCAAACCATGAGCTGAAGCTGCAAGGAAAGGCAACAAAATAAACACCCAAAAGAAGTCATAAGTAAATAAACAAGTAAACACGAGTTTGCCAAAAGTCCCTTCCGGCCTGGATTGACCAAGCCAAGTTACTCAACAAGTGTCGGTCGATTGGAGACCGACAGCGGGAGCTTGGCGCCAGGTTAATTTCCATAGAGAGATGAATGCTTAACGGCCTGAAAGTCTGTCCTGTTCCTACGGGCGCTTGAGCCTCAAAAAATTTATTGACAGATGAAGTGAGTTGTGATTTGACAGGCAATGGTTTGAACTATGTCTTGCATTGGCCTCGTGGCCAAAGTTTATTAATTCTCAAGCGTTTAGAGCATCTCGTGAGTATCACCATCTAGATTCAATAGTCTTATCCAGACGTGGATCTCTTTTTAACATAAAGTTTGATTATGAGAGGATCTCCAGCTATATTCAGACGAATGATGTGTAGCCAGCCTTGTGTCCTTACCGAATGTAACTACTACTCCGACTACGATTTTTCATAAAGATTAACAGTTTGTGTTTAGACAAAGCTAACCAGCTGGAAATAAGAGACGATCTCGGGCATAACATTTGGGTGACAGGAAAGATCGCCTGGACCTGGTCGTCCCTTGACTTTGTTATTGGTCATGATTAAACGAACCATATTTCTGGATTTTTACCAGATCGGCTTGTTGCAGATCATGGACCAGGAAGAAAAGAAACATCCATCGATAGCTTCTAAGGCGAGCAGCATAAATCTAGATAGTGGCAATGAACTATACTCGGTCAATAATGACGTTGCCAGCCACCTCCCATTATTAGGCTTAGGATCGCTGAAGACGCATGGGCATGTCGGTGGTCAAAGTACAGTGAAGCGCCCACGATAGTGCTGATTGATAGAAAAGTGAAGAAGGTTGCGACCTGCAATACGAGATTGAGTCAATACTAAAGAATATGCTTCGTCAAGGAAAATAGATACCCAATGGTGTAATATGATGCGATGCCACATGCAGAGTCATTACAACCAAGGTATATCGAATTCCACAACAGAAGTTGGTTGTACAACAGTTCGGTTACGTATGCCTTTTTTTCAAATGTCCGACACTAACAGTTATTTGATAGGCTTAGAATTTTAAAGCATTGAGTGCGGATCGTATTCATCTCAATGTCTATCTAATGGATGGTGGTGATGACTTTTCATTGACTGGTACTCTTGACAAGACGAATTTAGAAAATGCATCAAAAGATGCTGACAAAGATCCATACAGAGGCCAGCTGAGACTCTTAACGGAAATGACAGAGAACAAATCGAAGCCACGGATCAATAGATGAATGGAACTTGATGCATAGCCTAGAGCATTCATTCAGTGATCGACAACCAGTAATATGGTGCTCAGCTCACGGACCTACAGGGGGTGGCTTTCTACGAACCGCCCAGTAAAGGCAACCTACATGAAAATGGGGATTGGCTTTCGATACTGCAACCAACCGACTCATGTAGAGAACATCACCAATCTATATTAAACCATCATGGATCTTTTACAAAAGAAAATAAAATAAAAAGAAATAGAAACGATTCATGAGTGACCAAACATCCACTTCAATTCACTCTGGACTCAACCACACTCCCGGAAATACCGCGACAAGGGTAACCCTGTTTCAAGACATTTGCTCCTGTTTCGAGTGCACGTTTGTCACTTGTAAATTGGTTCGTTTTGACTGAGAGAACATGTCATAGCAAAAGGATTCGGTAATCCCGCTTGATGAGAAAGAAAGAAAAGAGTGTTGAGCTTAGCTTGCGATGATATTTGGTCAAAGGGTAAAAAATAAGGCTCAGGCTGGGGATACTTCCGCTGAGAGCACGTACACACAATCGCCATTTTATGTAGGTAGCACACAAGCCAGTATTAGGCATGGCTCATTACGGCAACATCTACCGCCGAAATCATGTCTCTCTCGTGATCGATTTGTTGTCCAAAACCTTGATTTCGAGAGTAAACAAAGTTGAATAGGGTAACATGGCCTCTATACATATTCCGGTGACTAAGAACATGGGGGCAATAGCCAAGTCTTGGAAGAGCAACACACCCGAAATCAACTAAACTCTAGACAATTGCCTATTGAGAGCTAGATTCATGTTCGATTAGACAGTCTAGATGTCTCAAGATATTCAAATGAGGGGTTCAAACGATGACGGAGGCGGCAAAGAAACAAAGAGTCTGAAGACAAAGACTGAGACGGCGCAAAGACCACAATGACCTCGGAGTAGAGTGTCCCCTTTATTTTCAGGGTCTGCATCTATCAGAGACAAAGGGCTGGGGATCATCAGAAGCAAGGGGATAGTAATTTATTGTCTAACTAGGAGATTTAACGTGTCTCATGAGCGGTCCACGGTTGCGAGATGGCAACGAGACCAATGATTAAAAGTACTGCACTAATAAACAAGAAAAAAAAAAGACAGAAGAAAGGGAAAAAGCCCAGATCACAGGGTGTTTTGGGCGTCGAAACGAGCACTGAAGCAGGTGTCTTGTAATATTCCCTTTTTCATACCTCTACAGCGATGTTTTCTTTTGCTGCCGACGGTGGAGGATTACATTGCATGTATCAGTATCAGCCTCGAACCAATATTGATAAACAAGTATTTTCGGCTGTATTGTCTCTATCCAAAATAGACTTTTCGTTTCAAGGCGAAGCTTGCCTTGCCTTTTGCCTTGCTTTGGTTAGGTTGCTCTGCCACGTTTTGTGTCTGCCTTGTTGGAGATGAGAGAAAGGGAAAAAAAGGACGGAATTTACCATGTAGGAATTATTAGGAGCCCGGGGAAGAGAAAGATGAAACCAAGAACAAGGATGTAATGGCCGTGCTTATCCTGGGCATGGATCCGTTGTTGGTATCGACTTGCGAGCTGCGGATGCCAAAAGATTAATCAGCGGAAAAGCCTTCCTTCAATCCTTTGCTTTTATTCCTTCAATTATTCTTGGTTGTTCCACGCGAAACGAAGTAAGGAGCAGCTCGGGCAGATCAGCCAATCTCAGTCCCAGTGCATACTGCAGGTAATATTATATGTATGGCTGTATGGTTATACGCATACGACCTACATAACTGGGTGGGTGAGTGACACATCGTACTCTGTAGTTATAGATCCCTCCTCCCTGTATGGGTAATTTACGCTGGAAAGCATAGCCCTGGGAGCATCGATGCTACAGGGGCATTTCTCGATGATCAAGATCCCCATCGTGACGATAACCTCTAAATGCCAAGTTGTTATCCGAAGAGCCACCGTTACTATCTACGAGCTTTAACAGCGTCGATGTGACCCAGTCTCATTTTTCATGAAAAACCAGAAAAAATCATTGTTGGCATTAGATCGATCCAATCTGGTTTAGTTGCAGTAATGCAACGCGACGCAAGCCAGGCCAGGCTAGAGTCAGGTACCCGTGGAACTGGTTTTTGACTTTGAACCAATAGAAGCATAGAGAAAAGAGGATTTTCGTGCTTTGCCCTGACTGAATTACCCTCTATTTACGTGGAGGCAGCGGGGAAGCATGATTTTCTCTCACGTCAACCTCTCAAACTATACCGCCACAATACTACTGTGTAGTTAGTTAGTGTGTCCATTCGCCAATGATGGATACTTGTAGGGCTTTTGAGGGCTTGTATTTTTCCCTTTCTTGGACTAGAGCATCATTTCCTGTTTGGGACTTTGAGTTTGGCTGGCCTTTGGCGGTTTGACCGTTGAACTTTGGAGGCGGAAGCTTGGAGAACGAAACGAGATACCACAACCAATCGATCTATTTTGGTATTGTAAGTAAAGTCTGATTATATACACCCTCTTCTTGAATGATGAAGCATCACGGACGATAAACAGAAACATCAATTGACTGAAATTCATCCAGATATTCAAAACTAAAACAAACCAAACTAAACCCAACTCAAACCTTCATCTACCATATTGGTTGTCATGATCCACGCACCCACTACCCATTTGCCAACTCTGCTATTCAACAGGATAGGCCTAGAGAAGAGAACACTGGAGATGACTACAAGAAAGAACCCAATGGAAAGAGAGCTTGCAAGGTCAACCCAGCTATCATCATGACTTGCATGAGAGGAAATCATCCAGCTTCCAGCCACTCACCCGATATTTGCATGGCTCACACCCTCACCTCACCACCACATCAGCTCTTCGGAAATCGAGGAAGGGGGAAAACCAAGGGGAATCCCTGTAAACCGTTTCCCCTCCTCCCGAGCCTTGTACTCAGAATATGAGTGCTCGTGCTAATTGTCTAGAAAACCAAAGTCAGAGAGTTGACTGGGGTCCTTGACCTTGTTCATCATACCCCTGCTTAGTCCCGGGCCTATTTTGCTAACGACACGCAATGCGTGCACAGCATAGTCAGGAACACTCACTGACACTTTTACTAGTTGACCGTTGCTTTTTTCTCCCGCTTCCTATTCCTGTTGCTTGGGCTTGGGCTTACTCTGAATATCCGACCCATCCACTCACTCCCACACACAGACCAGACACCCCAAAGTTAAACGTCCGTCCGCACCCACAAGTTGGTCTTGACTATTACGGCTATTTTACTTATTCCTGGCCTCTGCTCTTCTTGTCCCTTCCCTTCCCTTTCTCCAGGTCTTTCTCTCCTACACACACTCTCTTTCTGTATACAACACTCGTTTCTATATCAACCCATCCTTGACTTATACTGATAGCTTCGTGACTGCTGCTTCAGTTTTCCTCTGATTCGGTTCAATTGCTCAACCTGAAACCAACAGCTTTTGTCCCTCCCAGAGTGCTACGCTCTTTTTTTATCCGGGGCTCCGATTTTATACTCAACTTACACTCTCTATACCGCCTTCGGTAATCCAGTCCCTTGTCTGGGCTTCAGGTCGTCACTTATACACCGCCAGCCACAAACTTATTTTTGCCAATAACAAAAGGCGTATTTTGGCAATTGGGCTTTCCGATTACCTACGCCTATAGAGGTGTCCGCGTTTCTCAACTCAGCTTTACATAACGACTGTCAGTCACCTCGGATCCATCGTCGACTTTCACTTCCATTGCCGATCAGGATCGACAAAGCCTAGCCGGGCTAGATTATGCAGTGCTATCCAACAACATTACAATCATTACAGAATATCAACAAGAATAACAACTGCTCTGGCTCCGACTTGCAAACACCAACGAACTGTTAGTTCGAGGCTAGCCTCCTACCAGCCATCGTACTGGTGCTCTGCAAGACAACTATCTGAACAGACTCTCGTTTTCAAACAATCGACACAATGCGACGCACTTTATCACTTTCGCTGGGCGCCCTGGCCCTGTTGGCAACAGCGGCCGTGATGGCAGTTCTCATTGTTCTCACAGTCCACGTCCCCAAGGAATCAAGCGGTCGAACGCTTTCACAAGTATCCGTCGCTCTTGAGGCTGTGACCCTTGTCATCATTGGGTGGTTCCTCTCTACATACCCTTCAACCTCGTTCCGCAGCTGGTCAACAAGATGTCTCGGTGTTGACTTTGGTGCTGCGGTTCTCACTATTCTCTTTGCTACTGTTTCAACAGTTGCCACACTCATTCAATTTAGTAAATCAACTCTTGAGAAGGAAGATGATCTCCTCAACGCCAGCAAGAACACCCTTCTCATTGGCTTATCGATTGCTCTCGGACTCGGCTTCATGTTCCAGGCTGGTTTCTTGTTTGTTCACTTTTTCCTCACCAGACGAAATGACCAGCATGCGTTCTCTCTCCACAGCCTCGAGGATGGTCGAGGTCTGCCCTCATACCGATCCAAGTCATCTCTTAAGACGCTGCGCTACAGCCATACCGCCGACCCATTAACTCTTAAGAGGAACTCAATGGATTTCCACACGCCTGCTTCATCCATCCGTGGACGTTCCAGGTCCAACACTGCCAGCTCCATCAAGGCTCAACTCTCCAACGCCATCCGATCTGCCACCGTCAGGAGCCACGTCTCCTCAAGCGAGTTCCGCCGACCTATCACTGCTGATTCAGTCAACTACCAGTCCAGTGAGGATGCTTTCGATACCTGGGATACTTCTTCCGTCGATATACATGCCCGTGAGGTCGTCATGGAAGCCACAACTCCTCCTCCAAAGAGTCAACCCCATTTCCTCGAGACAATCCCCGGCAGCCCCTCACCAAGCAAGACATCAATCCAAGACACCATCGAATTGCCTCTTGAGCCTCCAAGAATTCGCAGGAGAAGTCGCAGCTACAGCCCGGTGTCTATTCGTCGAGAGCAACTGGCTGACCTTCCTGAGCCTGCACTGGGTGAATCTAACATTCACCCTCTGTTCCGATCCGACTCAGCCACGCCTCCTCCCATGGCGACGCCTGGCACTGTCGTTGTGGCCTCACCCAACGCTGGTCAGGTCATTACACACCGCCAGAGTGTGCGCTCCCTGCGCTCTACCTCCGTGTCCGTGCACCCGAGCCCCCTTGGCAGAGATGAGCGTGAGAGTATTGCGGAGGAGGAAGAGGAAACTGACTCACTGTCGTCGGCTGAGCGACCCATCACACCTCCTATCCCTACATGGGTGATGGGCGCCGGCTCTCGATCAAGTTGGTCAGATTATAATAACCGCAAGTCCAAGTTGGACAATGAAAGTACACACGAAACAATCACCAATAACGTTTAACGATCTGAAAAAGGAAAAGAAAAAAAAAGAGAACTCACATGGGAGGAATCACGGGAACGAACATAGCGTGCGACTATGATATGAACAAGGCACTCCATTTTCTTATTGTTTATTTCTTGTTACCAGTAGACGGAGTCTTACTGTATACCTAGATATGAGTGGGTGATGAGAGATGGGCGGGATTGTCTTCACAACAACATGTATACCAAAAAGGGACAGCGAGGCGCTATTTTATAACGACTGACTCAAGAAGGAACCCCTCTACGCTTGAGGCGTGAGGATGGACGACAGAGATGAACTGCAAATTTTAAGTAGAGAAGAATTAAAAGATGAAGAATCAATACAAACAAGTCTAAAATCAAGCAACGCAAGAGTTTCGTAATAAGGACTGTGATTATGTCTATTATCTCATGAAGAGCTCAGGCTCACTTCACACAAAAAAGAACAATGACAAGATACGTCATGGTGTTGATGAGTCTATGATCCCTGTACTTCATTCATTCTCAGAGAAATTGTCTTTGTAGAGATAAACATTCATGATGAGAAAACATCTATTTTTATATCTTTAGTTCAAGGCCGCAAAGCGCAGTCGACTAAATTATACCCGCACCAAACTATGGGTTTGCTTGTCAAGATGATGATTCTCAGGCAGAAAGACAGTACGCGCACCTTCAGCTTCTACCTGGTAATTTGGAAGCCTGGAGTGGCTGACAAACTGACGCTAAACCTCTTCAAGTCAATGCATACTTGAGCAACCGTCTTCAACTCACAGGGTCATGCTCCACCTTTTCCCTCAGTGACCACTCACACTCACTAAACGGCTGGACTTGCAACGTCAACGCAGGTTGTTGCTCTATCTCTATCTCTACCTCTACCTCTACCTCTACCTCTACCTCTACCTCTACCTGAACTCTACAACATTCAAGCTTTTATCATAAGGCAGACCTTGAAAGACTCAATAACTTTCAATCCTCCTCTCTCTCCCAACCTTTCTCCTTCTTCGACACATCTCCGCAACATCATCTTGGCTTAAGCCTGCACCCAAGCGAGACGAATCCATCCATCCGCCTAAACCCAGGTCGCCGTTCGCCGTTCGCCTCCCACCTCCCCACCTTACACAACAACGGCAGACTCTTCGCCCATCATGAAGGTCACTTTCAAAGTACGTCACGGATGACTGCAGCGTCGCTACTAGTCCAATCTCTTTATGGCCAAACCGTCGCTTTTATCTCCGATTTACGGGAATTAACAGAATGTCTTGCAGGATCTCAAGCAGCAAAAGTTTACGCTCGATGTCGAGCCCTCAGAGCTGGTAGGTCTGCCCCGCGTTGACGACTTCACCTGTCGTCGCAAAGCGTTCGCCCGGTTAACCCAAGACAGATCTCTGCCGTCAAGCAGAAGATTTCCGCCGAGAAGGGATGGGAACCTCAGCTGCAGAAGCTTATCTACTCTGGTATTTGCTACAACTTCTTGTGTTCCGACCCACAGCTCGCTGACGTTAGTTCCAAGGCAAAATTCTCAAGGACGATGAGACTGTCGGATCCTACAATATCGAGGAGAAGGGCTTTGTGGTCTGCATGGTGAACAAGGTTTGCAACGTCGTTATTGCTTGTGACTAGAGTCCATACTGACATGTCGTGATAGCCCAAGCCCAAGCCTGCCGAATCAAGCGCTGCTCCTCCTGCTACACCCGCCGCTCCTCCTACCCGCACTCCCGCTGCCCCAGCTGCTCCCGCGCAGTCTTCATCTCAGCAGGCTGCCGTTCCCGCAACACCCACCCCTCAGCGCTCTGCTGATACCGGACCTGAAGAGCCTTCGGGCCTGGCTATGGGATCTCAGCGTACCGAGGCGATTGCGAATATGGAGGCTATGGGTTTTGAGAGGAGTCAAATCGAGGCGGCTATGCGCGCTGCCTTCAACAACCCCGACCGCGCTGTCGAGTACCTGCTTAATGTTTGTTCAGTGTTTCCTCCTTATCACGAATTGTGATGACTTACGATGAATACAGGGCATTCCCGACAACATCCGCCAAGAACAGCAACAACGCGAGGCCGCCCCCGCAGCTCCTGCTTCTCAACCATCTCAGCCCGCTGCCGCCGCTCCTCAAGGTGGTGAGGAGGGTGGTGTAAACCTGTTCGATCTTGCTGCTCAGCATGGAGGCTCCGGCGCTCGAGGAGGAAGCGGTGGTAACGAAGCGGCTGCAGCGGCCGCTGCAGCCGCTGCCGGTCAGGGTGGCGATCTAGGCAACCTCGACTTTCTACGACACAACGCCCAGTTCCAGCAACTCCGCCAGATCGTTCAGCAACAACCGCAAATGCTTGAGCCCATTCTTCAGCAGCTTGGTGCTGGTAACCCTCAACTTGCCGAGTTGATCGCCTCAAATCCCGACCAATTCCTCCAGCTTCTCGGTGAATATGCTGACGACGACGTCCCTTTGCCGCCTGGAGCTCAGGCTATTTCAGTCACCGAGGAGGAGCGTGATGCCATCGAGAGAGTAAGATTTCCAGATCCAAGCAAGTTTCTCATGATTCTAACGCATTTAGCTTTGCCGTCTCGGATTCGACAGAGATGCCGCCATCCAGGCCTACTTTGCCTGTGATAAGAACGAAGAACTCGCTGCCAACTTCCTCTTCGACCAACCGGAGGATGATGAGCCTGGTCCTAACAACTAGGTGGGTTAGGGCTAAATATCAAGTAGGCGATTTATGATTATCAGTGGAGGAAATACAACAAAACTAGGCATTCCCAAAATAATATGGGCAGTCATGAGGCGTTGGCCCATTACCACCATGGTGACGTCCTGGTGAGAGTCGCGACGCTCTCATGAGATGCGCTGACGTAGGGCGTGGGAATTCTGCTTGGCATCGATACGTGCATACGCAGGGCAACACAGATAGCTGATGAAATTGACGAATTTTAAAACCTGTTGATTACCGAGGACTTGATCCAAAAACCTCGGCTTGTGTTGATATGCTGGAAGTTTACGGATACATGATATCAGCTCCCATTTGGTACTATCTGGACCTGAGCCGGCTGCGGTTCACGTATGGCAAGACCTGATAATACTCTTAAATAACCGCTTTGTTTCCAGTTCCATTCGTACCAGTTTGACCAACTTCGATCCTAGCGAATTCTGCCTAACCTATGAGCAATGAATATTCTGTAGAGACTGCTCTCCAATCCGATCCCATGTAACCGTTGATTTCATAAGCAAACACCAAAAAACCCTGTGGGTATCATGCCTATTCCCTTTTGCGCCGCCTGGAAACCCTTTCCCCCTTATTTTGGACTTGACCTGGATCTTTGTCTTGGTCTGGTATATGACTTGACCCTTTTCGTTATTCCTCCTGAACGATGGGTTCGCCGTTGAGTCCGTAAATGACTGTTTGCTTCTTCTTTTTCTTTTTCTTCTTTGCGTCGCCGTCCTCATCATCCTTGAACAGCTCCTCGCGCTTCTTGCGCATAGTCTCGGCCTGCTCATCGGCACGGCGCTTCTCCTCTGCCTCGTACTCTTCCTGGATCTTGCGCTGCTCGGCCTCGATGGCTTCGACTGGCTCGAATTCACTCCCGGTGAAGGCCTTGTACTCGTCAATGTTCATCTTGACCGTCTTCTCGCCGATGAGGGCAGCGTTTATCCGCCTAGGACAGTGGCGCTCCTCACGGTTAAATTTGAGCTTCACGTTGCGGCGCTGCTTTCCTGGGAACATCTTGGAGATCATCTCAAAGTCTGTTCCAAACATACACAAACCGCGGTAGAAGAGCTCCGTCTCGTCTTCGGTCCAAATGTTGGGCCCTTTGAGTTTGGAAGTGTTCATGAACGAGTTGCTGGTGATGAGGCGAGTAAAGTCGTTTTCTTCGACAGTTTCCATATCTCCAGCGGCTGCAGCTGCTCGAGCATGTCGATCCACGGATAGCGAGCTTTGGTCAATCACGATCTGTCCATCCACGATGCGGAATTGTGGTCCTGAAGGAGCAGCCGAAGTAGGAGCTGATGGCGCCGGCGACTCTGTCGGAGTTCCACTCTTGTCACTCTTGTCAACCTGACCACCGGTCTCAGGTGTTGCTGAACTGTCACGCTCCCCGTCAGCTCCGAGTTTGTTTTTCATCCTGGCTCGTCGCTCTCGTTCTCGTAGTTCGTCGTGCCTGCTGAACTTCTTGCCAATGTGAAGATCCTTGGTTAAGTCGGCCATCTTGAGTTTTTGAAGATCCACCAACTGAGCCTCTGAGTCTTCCGGTGTCATAGATCGGGCCCGTCTAGTTTTGGGTGTATTTGTACCGCTTTCCGTTGCCGCTTTCCGTTTTCTTGGCTGTTTGGGTGTTGCACCGTCCTCAGCAGTTTTCCTCTGTCGCTTTTTGGGCCGGGCACCTTCTTGTGCACCCGTCTCGTCTTGAGTTGCTTGAGAGGTCTGCTTCCTGGCCCGTGGTTTTCGTGTCGGTTTTGTAGCCTTCTGTGCTTCTTCCAAAGGTTTTGCTTGTGACTCATCGGGGCCGTCTGATTGAAGGGGAGGCGTTGAAGGTTCAGTCCCACTCGGTCCTTCCGAGTCGTCAGGAGTGGGTGTTTGAAGCACCGGAGAAGCTGCAGCTTCCGTGTCACTCGACTGAGTTTCATTAGGTGGTAAAGAAGGTTCTTCATTGCCCGGCGACTGATCTTGTTCTTGTTCTCTTGTCGGTTGTGTCTGGACAGTCGCGGATTCCGCAGCCTTTGCAGTCGCAACCGGCGCAGCGGCCTCTTCTGTTCGAACAGCAGCATCCTGAGTTTCTGCTACATGCTGGGCCTCAACAGGCGACTTTTCCTGCGAGGTTTCCTGAGTTACTGGAACGTCATCGGGCTTTGCGAATTCTGGGTTTGTCGATGGCGGGGTAGGAGGCTGGCCATCATGTTGATGAGAATCCTGGGGTTTAGGGTCGACAGGTGCGGTTACAGGCTCATTCGGCGAAGAAGACTCGGAGGATTCTTGAGTAGTTGGCTGAGTTGCAGACTCATCGGAGACGGGTGGAGG